TCAAATTTTGTATTTATTCTTATCATTCGTATTATTTGACGTTATCATCTTAATTTTGAATATAATCTATAATTTATTGCAAAAATTGATATCATTTTTATCATTCTATTACTCGTTTCATTTTTGTTTTTATCAATTTAATTATTAAATTTATTAAAATTTTTTATTAAAAGAACTGACGACAATAAAATGAAAAATCATTTATTCCATTTCCAACCTAATATCTCATTTGTTTAAAAGGTCAGGTATTTTCAACATTCATGTTACTTTGATATATGATAATAATAGTGATAGTAATAATAATAATAATAGTAATAATAAACAATAATAATAGCAATAGTAACAATAATAATAATTAATAATAGTAGTCAGTAGTTAGTAATAATAGTAATAATAAACAATAATAATAGCAATAGTGATAATAATAATAATTAATAATAGTAATCAATAGTTAATAATAATAGTAATGACTCTGATGACAATATTAATTACTAATAACAACAGTAATAATCTATCTCTGATGTATAATTTCGAGCTCTTCTTTGCTTACCTATGGATAATAAAGGTTCTTATCATTATGCTAACCAGGTAGTATTAAAATCCTGAAATCCTAAAAATGATTAGATGTTGCGAATTTTTCTTTTTTTTTTCACAACTTCAATTTCTTATCATTCCTTTACAATCTAAGTTGATAAGAAAAAAGTTTGATTTTTTGTTTTCAACTTTTTTTCCGTTATGAATGTGAGTGGAATTTTGTTTTAAATTAAATTTCTAAAATTTCAAAATTTCAGTCTTTTAATTTAAGTTTTTGATTTTCTTTTTTCAACTTTTTCTTTCGCTGTAAGTATGGGAATTTTATTATATTTATTTCAGTAATTCTACTTGATACATCCAATTCAACCACTGAGCTACGCTGGCAAACTCATTCAAACATGAAAGATGATGAGATTGGAGTAAGTTATGATTAATGATTTATTCAAATATTTGATGATAAATTTGAAAGATAAGATTTGCATTTCACATTTCTAATTTAAATAAATCTTTCCAGATTAAATTTCAGAGTTTCCAATTAAAATAAATAATTTCCTAAATTAAGTAATAAAATTTTGCTATGGAAAAAAAAGGCAAAAATATTTGAAAATCTTTTCCATACGAATTTATGTTTAACTTCTGTTTTTCTTTATTAAGAATTTAAATTTTACTAATTCTTTGCTAAAGAATTTTGTTTGTAAATTTAATCTATTTTATAAAGTCTCATTTAAATTTCATTTAAAGTAAAACTTATTTAATTATGTGAAAGAAATTAAAATTTGATGAAATTAATCTAACACAAGAATTTCATTTTTTGTAATTCATGTAGTTTCTTTTTTTTTAGTTTGAAATTTGTCAATACCTTACAATTTTATGATGTATGATGTTAGAAGGTGAATCCATTAAATAAGTCAGTTAACCTTGATGTTTATTAGAGTACCATTAGGTGGTAATAACAGTAGCAGTCGTCGTCATCGTCATGGGGTATTGGTAATTCTGTTCCATTATCCAGCAGTACTATTCATTATGTGACAGACGACACTACTACCACCACCAGCAACAACAATAACAATTTTTGTTTAGTATGTTAGATGTTGAAATGATAAGATGGGGTCAATTTAAATTTAGTGGAAATAATTTTCTTTTTTTGAGGTGAAAAGGATGAGACAATGAATGAGGACAAATAGATATGTATGCATAGATAGGTGGTGACTGTGATTAGTGTGAAATGGTACTTAATCATCAGGAGGTTAGGAGGAAAAAGGAGAGGAGTAAATATGAAGAAATGGTATGACATAAATGTTATCAATAAAGGAATGGTAAGTTAAAAGGTTAAAGGTAATGGAATGGAACGAAAATTGAAGTACCATTTTTGATAAATGGTCATGAGGTGGATGGACTCTTCTGTCACATTCAATTAAGTGGCTTTTATGATTGTGGACAAGCAATATTTTACAGCATTTGTCCATCAATTAGTTGATATTGTTGTTGTTTATGGTACATAAAACTGAAGAAATTGAAAGGAATTGAAATTTATATGTATTCTTTACTAATGAAATTAATTAATGAAAAGTATAAACAAAATTGTCAATTATCGAAATGGTTGGTTTGGAAATATGTTAGGATTATATTTAAATAAAATAAATAATTTGTCGAGTTCTTCATTCTTTTTCTTTTTTTATTAGAATAAAATAAATTAATAAATAAGTAAATAAATAAATAAACAAGGGATATTATTTTTTACATGAATATTATTTCCATTTATATTATCTAATTAGTTCTTTTAATAGGATAACTTACAAATATATTAGAATCGTTGGGTAAAATAAACAATTTATTGAGTTCTTAATTTCTTTTTATTGGAACAGAATAAATCAATAAATATGTGGATAAAGAAATGAATAAATAAATATTTTAGAAAAATAAATAAGATAAAATATTTTCAATTGTTTTTGTGATTAATTTTGATTTTAAACACAATTACAATCGGTAGTCTAATTCAGATTTAAATTTATTTTATAAAATTTCAAATGCTGCAATAAATCTGTTCGGAGAAACGAAGTCATTTTCAATTTTTCAGAGAAAAAAGAACGCGACGAACTATCGTTCCTTTTTTTTTTTTTTAGAAAGCAAAAATTTTTTTTTCGAAGCAATGAATAATTACAAAAAAAAAGAATGCATTCAGAAAAATTTTACAAATTCCGTTTTTTTGTTTTCTGTTTTTATTTGATTTATCAAAAATTTTTATAATTTATTTATTTAATTTATTTCTATTTTTATAAAAATTTGGAAAAGAATTTTTTTTTGACGAAAATTTCATTCAAATAAATAAACAAACAAACACAAATGAACAAATAAATAAACAGCGTAAAGTTTCTGTCTAAATTAAACAATTTTTAAAATTTTTCTTTAAAAAAAGCAAAAATTATCAATATTTTTAAAACCATTCATATTCTTTATGCCAATTATTTCACTAATACTAAAACTGTATGCTTAGTGAATGCATGACACAATTCATGTCACCAGTTGAACATTGGCAATATCTTAATGATGCCTGTCTAGCTAACGAGGTCATCATGAAGTTGACCAGAGATATCCATCCATATAATATGTGTTGCTCATTGTCTCACAAGGTCATTTCATCTATGCATAAAATAAGATAAAATACTCAGGTAAATAATACATACGAAATGGGTGAATTAATAAATACATTGAATAATGTAATTTGTAAATAATCAATCATAAATAATTCGAAAAAAAAAACTTTTTTTTCTTAATTTTTTCAAAATTATCCAAAAAAAAAACGGATGAATATTACATTAATTTATCGATTATTTAAATTTTTCAAAAGAATAAAAAATAATTAAAAATTATAAAAAATTTGTTTGGAATTGTAATTTAGCATTTAGTATTCTCTTTTTTTTTTGTGAATAAATTGGTAAATATGAGTTGAACGATTAAAATGAAATTTGAATTGTCCAAAAATTTTTTTTAAAAAAAAACTTTACAAAATGAATTTTTCCATCTTTTGTCTTTCTCCCTCTCCCTTTCTCTCCTCTCCCTCTCTTTCTCCCTCTCTCTCCCTCCTCTCCTCTGGTTTTTTTTCAATGTTTCCCTCGAATAAAATGAATTTAGAATGAAATATAATAGATAGTTTATAATGATGGAAAAAGTCTCCTTCCCTTTCATATTTGAGGGTGCTTATTAGTGACCAAAAGAATAGAGACCATTGTGATGTCCAAATGTCCAAATGTCCAATTTTACAATTATAACAGAAATGTGACAAAAAGGAAGGAGAAAAAAAGAGAATGAAAGAAGAGACATGCACACCTGTAGGATCAATTAATATTTCTTTTTCCTCTCTCCTTCTCTCTCTCTGTTACTTTTACCTTTTTAAATTTATATATGAGTTAGAACAAAAAGGAAAAAAAAAGATAAAGGGATTAAAAATGCGTATGATAAGAAGCAAATTTATCAGTGTTTTATCAAATAATCATTATAAAATGTCTTTTAATTATAATACTAATTGAAGTTTCTTCTTTATTCTTTATCAAAGTTTTATATAAGATTTGAGGAATAAGCAGAATTTTAATAAGTCTTTTAATTATATTATTAATTAAACAGTTTTTTTTCTTTTATGAAAAATTTATTTAACTCAAAATTTTATATGGCAAGAGATTTAAGGAAAAAAAATTTGAATAAATCTCTTAGTTGTGTTATTAATTAGGATTGGTTTCTTTTATATTTAATTCAAAATTTCATTTGATAAGAGATTTGAAGATTTTAATGAGTCTCTTAATTGTATTATTGATTGAAGCTTTCTTTTTTTGAAAAAAATTTATTTAATTCACAATTTTATACGTTGAAAGATTTGAGAAATGAAAAATTTTTAATAAATGAAAAGAAAAGTATTTGTTCAATTAAATTCCAATAATTTTTTTTACCATATACTATTTTAAATGCTTGAAATTCATT